AACACTATTAGATATTTCATGTATACGAAAAAATGCTCACGTATATTTCATAATGGCAATTTCGCCATTCGTTACAACCTAATAAAATAATGATGGATACAGTATTTACATTTACACTATCCAAATTTTTACAAGTTATAAATGTATCCTTTTCTTGGTTATACGTCATGTCTAAATATTTCCTGTACTTTTTGAGATCTTCTCAATAAATTTCTATTTTGAGTTTTTTTTTGATTTCTCGAGAACTCCGCCGTATCATCTGTGTACATATTGTTTGATTGGCGTGAGTTGATTCGTTGAGTTGTTTCACTTTCTCTCGATGACAATTTAATCGTCTTTTTGTGTACATCATATAGCATTGCAATTTGGTCTCCCTGAAAAAATTAAGAAAATAAGAATTTGATGTTAAAAAATGTGAATCGTATGATGATGTTGACCTTCATTTCCATATCATCCATCACTCCTTTCATTTCCTCGGCTAAGGCTGTTCTTATGGATTTGCTATCCACAGGATCAATGGCTTGGTACTCATCAACTAGATTACTGTAATATCTAAATAACAACAATAATTTTTTTTAGTAGAACGAATCATAATTGTAAAATTTAAACATGCAACTGACATTTTCAAATGCGCCAATTCATCGGTTAAATTGCATATAACCTTCGTTAATGCTATGTCAGGAGTATCGTGGTTTAAACCAAGTTCTTCGGTATGATGATGTCGAGTATTTGCGTCTGATTAATAAAAAAATGAGTTATTATTTTTTTTTGAATTTCAATTGTCTGATATGGCTTATGAGCTTTGAAATTTTCTGAAAGGGACGCGACCAATCGTTAATTGAAAGAGGCAAAAAGTGAACCAATTAATGCAATTAGTCGCCTGAAATTGCCCACCCAAAAAGTTTTAATGTATTACTTTTTTTCGTCTTACTCTCGTCGGTGTTGTGATTTTTTTTTTTACATACAGAACATGAATTCGTATCATGATGTTTCGCCATAACAAAAGCTTGTTGTAAATTAACAGTGACAGAATCTGATTTTCCAGTACCCTATTAGGAATTCGATAAAATCTCAGTAAAAACTACAGAATTGTATACACAAACTCACGATGAATTAATAACAAATGCTAAATTGTCCCCACAATAAATGGAACTTCACGATGGTCGCCTGAACCTTTGGCATTCCGTAGACGTGTTTCGGTAACATCACGAACCCTTTTTTTAAGATAAGATTTTCCGTTTTTTACGTCTCTCCATCTAGGTTGATCCTTAAAGTAGAAAAATTGTTATAATATGAATGTTCGACGAAAACCTACGAGAACCCACCATATTGAGTAGAGCATTGACTTGTCTATTTTGTCTTCCGAAATGATCATTATGTTCGCGTTCCTCTATTCGGTCGTCAGAGTCATCAGAAGGATCATTTGAATACCGGTCGTTTCGTTCATATCTTGAATGTTTCCTTTTGTTCCCTGTATTAACAAAATAGTGTTCATCTTCTGTGTCTTGGTATTTCTTAGTGGTCTTAACCTGTTGATCACTCTCTTGACTTGAACAACGTGAGTTATCCCGCATATTATTAAATTTTTTGTTGTTTCCTGAAGAACCGCAATTTGATTATTCGCATGATAGTTCGCATCGTCTTGTTTCTTTCCATTAAATAGATATAAAAGTTACCTGACGACAACTCAGTTTCTCGCTGAGGCTCTTCGCATGGATCTTTAATTTGCTCACAATATTTAGGATCAATATACCGATTTTCAAATCCCCTACTACTAGCTGGTCGCTGAAACACTTGGGGAGCAACATTTCCGTTTTCTTCCATTGAACTCGAATATTTAACCCTCTATCATAATGAGAATTCAGTCAAGTATAAGATACTTGAAAACAAAATAATCGTCTAAATTTAACGAACCTCTTGATAAATTTTTTTCTTTGAACGTCTTTTTTCGTGATCATGATTGGTTTGTTCTGGCTAAGCAATTAAGTATAAAATATTGTAATTCGAAATCCTGTACATTACTATTTGAACAATTGAACTTACATAATAATAAATTTGGTGCCTATTGCTCACTGAACTAGAGCCATGCGAACTATTCCGCAAGTTATCGTACCGTTCTTTACTAGAAATTGCGTTTTTTCGGTTTTCATTCTTCAAGACCCTAATGGTCTCATCTTGTTGCGGTTGCGACGTTAAAGACAACCTCGTCGCTATTGATCTAGGAGATGATGTGCCCTGAGGTCTAGTTCTCTGATTTTGTGCTGCTGCCTTAAGATCTTCATACTCTTTGTTTATGATAGCAATTTCTTGCTTTGCAATTATCAAAGCTTTTTTTGCTTCATCACGCTCTTCTTCTGCCCTAAGAGTATATTGCCTTGAATATTCCAACTGTCTTTTTAAAGCTTCGTATTTTTTATGTAGAGAGTTCACCCGATTCTCGAGTTCTACAAATTTGATACCACACAAAACCTTTTTGATTTTTTGTAATCGTAAATCTAAATTCGAATAAAATTCAAATGATTAAAAAAAACCAAAACCCTACTTTCTTTGTCGGCATGATTCTCGCCATCCTTTCCTTTCACTTTGTTCGCGCGGCTATCGGCCTCTAAAGATCGTATTTTGACTTGTTCTTTTTGCAGGAGTTGCCGATATTGTTCTACTTCCTTCTCCAGTTGATTAATACGTTGATCCGCATTATCTTTATCAATCTCAAGCTTCCTATAATTGTCAGTAAGTGTCCTTAAGGCAGAAAGTGGTCCTATTATAAATAATAATGATGATGATGAATAATATTACTAAAATTACGTATTAAAATTATCTAGAATAAACCTCACCTTGAGTACTTGTCCCACCAAGGTTACTCATACGTCTATATTGCCGATTATCTCCAATTGATAAAGAAACATTTGGTAATTGGAATGATTTCATTGAAATCGATGGTGTGACTTGTTCGTCTGTAAGCACAACTCGAGGTTTAGGTGAAGTTGGTTGTGAATGTTGTTCCTGAAGGAAAATCCGTTTCCTTTGTTGTTCCTGACGCGCATTTTCCAAAAGCGAAAGTTCTTTTTGGCGTTGTCTCATCATTTGCAACTGACGCTCCTTATCTTTATGTAATTGCTCATCATTTTCTTGTGGTCGTTCACGTCTTTCTATTTCTTCTTTTTGTTTTTTTTCTCTCCGTATTGTTAATTGATACTCCTTTTCTTTTTGAAATTGTTGTGGTTTCTTTTCCTCCCGACGCAAATGTTCTTGTTCTCTTTGCTGCTGCCTATTTTCTTGTCGCAATTGTTGATAATCTCTTCCAGGCTGCAATTGCTCTCTCCTGGTCTTCTCTTCTCGTTCTTCACATTCCCTTTGTTGTGGTTGTGCATGAAAAATTTTTTGATGCAATTCCTGAATTTGTGTTTGTCGATCTTGTTCCTGATGGAGTTTCTGATTATTTCGAGCTTGTAATTCACCCTCTTCCTCGTGATCCATTCGTTCTTCATGCAGTTGATTTCCTTTTCCTTGATAAAATTGTATATTGTGTATTGGAACGTCCTTTAATTGTTTCTGAAGGATGTTATTGGAAAGTTCTCGTTGACACATTTTTTCCGTTTGTAATTCATCCTGTCTTGGTGATGGATAAATCTTTCGATGCGCTGAATGCATTACGACTGGTGAATGTCGTTTTTTAGTACTTCGCAAATAATTTAAAGAAAGATCATCATCGTCAAACACACTCGCTTCCCCAACAATA